CGTATGCAACACAAAGAGGATAGGGGACAGGGCGCAGACTTGACGGAGACCAGTGTCAACGTTGAAACCCTTTCACTTAACGCCATTTACTCTGACGCAGCACCTGCTACGAGAATGCGGTGATTGGATGGCCTTTAGCTGCTGGCCATCTATCCCTTAAGCTCGTCATCCTTTAGGCATGGCCAAAGACTGTTGCGTGGGATCCTGTCATAAGCTTTTTCTAGGTCAACAAAACAAACATGCACCGGAGGTGCATGCTTGCATGATTTATCAACAATCTGGCACAGGGCAAATATATGGTCAGAGTTGTTTCGACCGGGCCGGAAGCCACACTGCTCTTCTTGTATCTTTGAGTCAGTTATTCCGACCGGGTTACCAAGGGCCGCGCTGGCTCTTAGGGGACTAAGGCAGATTGCGCAAAGTCGGCGATCAGAACCTGCTCATCGCCCTTTGCCAGCCGGGGACATGGCAGCACAACGACGGCTGAAGAAGACCGACGGAACGACGGCTAAGACACCAGTCAGCAACGGAGTCGCTTCCCATTCTGAACGGAGGAGGCAGACAGCGCGATGCCATTATAGCACGTCAGAAAAGGCTCCACGAGAACGAGACCGCCAGTGGGAGCTTATAGTCAGAAATTGGAATATATCCTCACTCACACGGAAAAAGCAAGAGTTAGTTGATGAGGCCCTAACGTATCAATTCGACGTTGTTGGACTCTCGTCAACGAAGCGCAAATACTCTGAAATCCTGAGTGTCGATATCACAACGCTCACTCAGGCCGATGTTGGTGTTCTGGTAGAACTTAACCTCGCAGATAAAATCGTTGATTGGATGCCTGTCAGCGGTAGGGTGGTAATCCTGCGACTGAAGACACAACAGGCTAAAACGTTAACCATCGTTCAGGTCTATGCGCGCAATTTGGACGGAGAATATGACACCTTCTTTGAGGAATGGCAGCGTCATCTGTCCGAAGTGACGAACGCCGAGTCCCTCATGGGCGATTTTATTGCGCATATCCGAGTAGACGCTGAAAAGTGCAACGGCGTGATTGGAAAAAGCGGCATGAAGTTGTTGTGGTTTTTGGCAAGCAACGCACTGTCCATTATGAACATCTCCTTCGAGCATCGAAGAGTTCGTCGGTATACCTGGTACCGGGTGTACAGATGTAGATGATCGATTTGATAATCGTATCGTCTGACTTAAAACGCTCAGTAACGGATGTTGGCGTCAAGAGAGGCGTAGAGCTGTCAACCGGCACTTGTGTTGGCATGCTGCGCCGTGAGAAACGGAGCACCATACGAAGATCTGGAGGCAGAAGCATCCAGAGAATCAAACGGGAAATATTATCTTCGGTGGGTACGAGAGCGAAATTTGCAAACAACATCGCACGACGGTTTGCACAGATCCCGGTGATGCCAACTGATGTGGAAACCGAGTGGCAGCTCAGAAAGAGCGGCATACTCGAGGCTGCCGCCGAATGCTGCGGATTTAAACGGGTTGGCCTGTCGCCTGGAAGTCAGAAAAGACCTTCATAGCGGACACTAGAGGCAGTTAAAGAGAAGAAACCAGCGTTCAGAAAATGAATTGGAAACAAAGAGCCTTCTATCCAGTGCGATATGTCGAGGCACGCAAGGCGGCTGCGAAAGCAGTGGCG